ATTGTCTTCACTGCCATTTTAGCTGCTCAGCCTCAGCATGGAAAGAAATAAAAACAGGCATTTATGGGTGGTGGCATCTTAATTATTTACAAAATATTGTTTCATCAGTACATTTTCTCCACCCTCATAATGACCATATTTTCATCCACTGGATATCCAGTTTATGGACAAGTTTATGTTCATGTTCATGTTTACGGATGTTTATGGTTGTCCCTGCCAAAATTCACTGTGGGTGTGCAAAGAGCCTTTGAGGAATGCCTGAAATGACTGAGGAAGCCATTCTTCTCTTCTAGTGTCACCTGGTGCAGGTACCAGATTGCAGCCACAAACTCATACTCTTCTTTCTCCAGCGATGGCTGAACCAAGCCATATTTTCCCTTTATACAGCCTGTGAAGTCTTTAAGTATTGCACTGACCATCCTTCACTGGTCTTAATACAGATGAGTGGCAGTTCCCACCATCCCACTCACATCTGAGGCCAGTGTTGACACACCAAACCATGGGCTGGTGCAGCTGGAGGGGCACTGATTTGTTACAGTCCTTGCAGTTGCAGTCACAGTTTCCCTGTCTTCTTTGGTAGCTCCAGCACTGAATTTGGTGCAGGGCTGGTCCCCCTTTGCTGCTGCCACAACACAGGTTCCTTACCACCATCCTGTTGCAGCTCCAAAAACCCTTGTCCCAGTCCCCCTTTCTCCTGTGACAGAAGAGGTTTTCAAGCTGTCACATGCATCAACAGCACCAGGAACATACAGCTAATGCTACATAAAATATTTTTCAGCAGGGTGAGATACACAGCAGTAGGTTCAAATCCACAAATGTCCTGTGGGTAGTAAGCCCTACCTTGGAATTCAGTGTCTTTGCCCTTTTTACTGCTATTTGTCATGAGTGCTGGTGCATCCTGCTGCACCAAAATCTCCTGCCTCGAGGACTAAATTAGGCAGTCTGGACAATTCTGCAGAGCCCAGATGCTGTAGTCAACTAATTGAAAATTCAGGGTGTGGGATGAGGTGTCCCTGGGCTGCATTCCTCCCCTCTGCTTTGTTATGCTGTTTGCAAAACAGCTGAGGGAAGTGTTCCAGTCCTGTCCCAGGTTTGCACAGGGCTCTCTATAAAACCTGGAGTGATTCCCTGGATGGATGTGTCTGGGAACTAGTGGGTTAGTGCTGGCTGAGTACATGAGTAGCATGGCAGCCTCAGCAGCTCATCCTGCCATGTCCTGGCAGCCGCCTCCACTGCCACATGTGCCAGTGTAGAGCCAGAAGCTTGAAACTCAGTGTAGAGCAAGAAGCCTGCATGAAAAAAAAGCATTATTACCCAGGACAATCCATATGTCCCAAGTTCTTTGAGCACCACAGTTATGAGAGGCAGGATCTCAGCTGAACATGCCATTTACAGCAAGGAACAGAAATCTGTGAAGGGAATAAAATGTGACATTTCAGTGAGGGGGATGAGAGGTGGATGCTGCAGGAGGGAGGACTTCAGGAACAGCCCCGGCCATGTCCCAGCAGTGGTGTTTCTGCAGGTTTCTACACCAGATGACATGGGAAGAAAAAAATTAGGTTATGGACAAGGATGGGTTTCCAAGAACTGTTCAGAATAAAAAAAGGAAGATAAAACTGGTGAAGAGCCAAGTAACAGCAAAACCAGAGAGGTCTTCAAAACTAGAAGGCTTTCAGGTTAAAATCTTTAACTAACCAAAAAAAATACATGGAAAGAGAAGAACAGAGGGGGAGAATGCAGAAACATGTGCATTATGTGGAGAGGCCGGGACTGCCATGGACCAGACCCAGCCCGTCTCACACAGGCCAGGCTCAGGCCCTCACGAGCCCCTCACGAGGCCAAGATGGCGGCGCCTCGGGTAGAACGAAACAGAAGAGGTTAAAAAGCTCTGCACAGGTTGTGGTGAGTGAGGGGGAAAGTAAGAGAAACAGCTCTGCAGGCACCAAGGACACTGAAGAAGGAGGGGAGGAGGTGCTCCAGGCACCAGAGCAGTGATTCCCCTGCAGCCACCAGAAAATACCTCAGAGAAGCTGGTTTGTCCTGAAAGACCCTGGCCCACGGAAAGGCCCCAGAGCGGGACAGGGAGATGTGTGAGCAGGAGGGAGCAGCAGAGAGGGGCTCTTATGGACTGGTCATCCCCTCAGTGCTGCCCGGGATGATGGAGAGAGGTGGAGGAACCAGGAATGAAGAACTGGGAAAAGGGGAAAGAAAGGTCCTGTTTCAATTTTTTAATTTGCATCCCACTACCTAAATCTATTTTATATGGCAACAAATTGAATTAATTTTTACCAAGTTGAGTCTGTTTTGCCCATGACAATAATTTGGTAAGTGATCTCCCTGTCTTTATCTCAGTCCATGAGCCTTTCCATCCTATTTTCTCCCCCTGCCCTCTTGAGGAGGGGGAATGAGAGAAGGCATCTAGAGGCCAGACAAAGCCAGCCCAACACAGCTTCCTAATAAAAAACTCTACAAGAAAATATGAAGTTAGATAAACAAAGGAGAAAGCCTTGGGACAAGACTTCTGAATTACTTCACAAGAAAATCAGCACGGAAGGAGGGTATTAAGCCCCACAAAGAAATGAAAGAAAACAGCTGGCTGAGAACTGAATTAGAAGAGCAGGTATCTGAGGACACAATCTCCCAGCCATGGATGTAATCCAGCTGCAATAGGAGAACAGTTCTGTCTGGCTTAGGGCAAGAGGACAGGAGCTGAGCATACCTGCTATTATCTTGTATTTTTAATCTCTTTTTATCCAATTTTTCACATACAACACCATCAACTAGCACCTCTAAACAATTAATTATGTCAGTGTTTTGAAACATGAAGCCTCCTAGGACAAAAGACCATTTACCATGAATCTCATGGAATTTAAATAACTGTACACAATAGGAAAATAGTTCCCCAAAAGTGAGAGAGCCAATATGTATTTATTTCTATATTTATGGGTTATTTTGTGTACCAAAGCAACAGTGACCCTGTTCTCTTTTATTCTAACTGTGTGGAGCACACAGTTTCCTGGGTTTTGAGACAAAGAAAGCCTGTGAGATCATTTGGTCTGGCTCCCTACAAACACAGTTGTCATCTCACCCAGTGATGAGCACAGGGGAGGGTGCATCCCAGCTGGGCTGGTGTGGGTGGCATGGGGAGACCTGTGCTGGGAGGCTCAAAACCCCTCATCCAGCAAGGTGTGGCATGGGTCAGGCACACTGTCAGATTTGTAAGCACGTGAAAATCAGTTTATGTTGCTGGTTTCAGCAATATGAGGTTTGATGTGTTTCCATAAGTGGTCCACTAATCTGGAGAAGTGCCATAAATGAGCACTTCCAATAGCACACGGGCATTTGGACAAGCTGCTGCTAGCCTCAGCACTGCCAGGAGCAGTCTCATGCACCACTTCATTCATCTCTCACAAATATTCATTACCTCCACTTCCAGTTCAGCTAATGTCAAAGGATTCATTTGGCATCCTTTCGTAAAGTCTGCAGTGCAGGCACTGCTATGAACAGCTCCAGCTTTCAAGAATGATGCTAACATATCTTTAGCTGTCTGGCATTCAAACTCACCTGGCATCTTTGATGAATAATTCGAAACCTCCTTGCTGCAGTGAAATTAAACTTATAGTTTAACCTTCTTATTACAACCTCTGAAATAAGATTTTGTAGAATAAATATTACTACACAAATGGAGCACTATTTTGTTTTCTTAACATGCCAGGAGGAAACATTTCCCCAGCCTTGCACTTCATGAGAAGCTCTTAATCTACAAATGTCTCTATCTGACCCTGAACAAGTACAGCAGGTCCTCTGCCCCAATCTTAGGGGCACAGTCACCTTTGCTTTTTTTAGGTACAGGCAACCCCCCAGTGTCTCTCCCTATCCACCAGGCACAGCCACTGCTCTCTGGCAGCCCCCGCCCACCTCTCCACAGGTCCAGTGGGGAGGGCTGGAGCACTCGTGTAAACCTCAGGCAGAACCGACACCCTGAAATGCCCTAATCCCTGTTCTGTTTTTCATGGACAAGTCAGTGTCCCAGTTCCACTTGCAGAGCTCAGAGTTTCCATCATGGATGTGGTGGCAATAAGGAACAGTGTGCACAGCACTGACACATGCTGTCAGGAAGCTTGCATAGATCAACAGAAATTAGAAACAAATCACAATCAAAATCTAAGCAAATCAGAAGCAAAAGAAACTTGAAAGAAGGACCCAAGACTAATACTTCAAAGTCAGAATAATCAAAATCATGATGAGTCCATTATGAGCAGAGGAACTATGAGGCACGCAGTGTTTCATTGCTCCTTATACAACTTGTCTCTCTAATCAGCACTTTACAGTTGTGGCATAGAGAGTTATGGGGAAAAATACAGATACTTGAAGTGCTACTACCCTGATTAAAGGGATCCATGTAGTTCCCCTGGAGAAAAAGGCTTAGGGAGAGGTATCTGTAGCAGGAACTTTATTGACACAGATTGCCTTCAAGCCCAGAACTTTACCAGTGAAGTTCCAGACACTGGAAATTTTAATATAAATCAAAAGCCAAGGAGTTCTAAACTCATATTTATGTACTTGCATAATATTAATACTGTAGGAGGTAAATATAAACAAAACACAAGATACTTTGCTCATGTCTGTGCTGGATGCCAATTTTGATATTGCTATAAGGTAAGAATATATATGAAAAGCAGTTTATATTAAATAGGTTAAGAGAGGAGATCTCTTCAGGAGGCAAAACAAGCTGTACAAGAACTACTATGGTTTCTAAAATACATTTTCTTCTCTGTGCATTAAATAATATTTTCTCTTTTATTATTAATCAAGGGACTTTCAACATCACCCCTGAATGCATTTTGGAAGGACTTCCTACTTGCCAAATCCCAATCCGAGTCGCATTCTGCAAAACCACATTCATGCTACTCCATTAGCTGACTTTGCTTGTAATGATATTTATTTAAGGCTACTTTGGCAAGAAGGGCAGAAGGGGAGTGCAGATGCTCCTACCGTACCAGCGGGTCTTTTTTCTCCATGTCTGAAGCTCGGCGTGGAAGCTGCGCTTGGCGCTGGCGCTGGCGCGGCGCGGGCAGATGCGCAGGGCCGGGATGTCCCGGGGAGGTCGCGGGCTGCCCCGGCCCCGGGCCGGCTCGGGGGCTGCCCCGCGCCCCGGCCCCGCTGAGGCGCGGCTGAAGTCAGGGTGCCAGCTGCCCCGGCAGGACAATGGCTCCATTGGGAGATAGCTGCGGGACAAAGGCGCTGCTTTCAGGAATGATTTTATATGCATACATGTGACCTTTGCCTGAAATGGTTCTTTGGAAAGTGTCCCTGTTCCGAAGCTCTGCTTTCAAATGCAGAACTCTCGGGCGCTTGTTTAATCTGTCCTTTTTTCCTATTTTATTTTGTGCCACAGATGCCTCAGGAGAGGTCGTGTGCAGAAAACAAGGTGGTGCTGAGCGTTTTCTCATCATTTAATAGAGCTATTCAGTAATGGATAAGATTACTTTCTTCACTTTGCAAAGCAAAGATCATTCACCAGGGTCTGCTATCTGGAGTGCTTTTTCTGCTTTTAGGAATTTAACTACAGAGTACCCCAAAATCAGAGCACCCCGATTTCCAATCCCATGCCTTAAGCCAGTCTCCACTGACTAGCACTTCCAAACACATCCAAGCTCGGGCCACCTTTGCTAGAGTGCATACAGTTTTAAATTTGTGCATCCAGATAACAACAGCAGGGCCTTTGGATTTTTAATGTATTGGAATGGCTTTTATTAAATTAAATGTATTAAATAAATTTATTATAAACAAATTTATGTTTAAATTGATTATTTTAGCTGTGATTTTTAAGTATTTTGAAAGCTTCTTACTTGAATGGATATAAAATAATGGCTGTCAATACACAGCATGCATGATGTGCAGATATCTTGCTAGTTGGGCTGGAGGTCGAGGGGTGAAGACAGAATTTATCACCTTTACCTTGAGATATGGCAATGAATGCTGCAGGTGAAGTGATGGGCCCTCAGAATTATTATTTATTAGGTTACAGGGAAAGTTAATAGCAGTGCGACTCTCAGGTTAGCCAAATTTTCCTTTATGAGACCTTGATTTTTGCTGTTTATTGCTCTGACAAACTTATATTTGCACTGGTATTTTTGTGCTGGAAAGAGTTGGGAGTTTTTAATCTATTTTTAGTTTGCAGCAAAACACACTGAATATTTTTGAGATTAAAACAAAGAATGTGTTCATTTCTATACAAATGTTAACCAAAATTATCTGTCCTTTCCATAAATAGATCTCAGTCTTACATACCCTGGAGCAACACACCAGATTTTGGGGACCAGAGAAGAATGGTCTGTGTCAAATGAATACATTCATTCATTGCTACCAAATTCCATACAAATTTTCTCAAGTTATAAATCTTTAAGAGATCTATGTGTATGCTGAGCACTGTGTGTGAGCAACTTGCTCACACTTAACGCCTGAGCTCTCTGGAGATCGTCTTCTCTGGGTGTCTTTGAGGCTCTCACTGACCATGGGTCAATCTGCAGGTTTATTTCAAAGGAAAGGAGTTTTAAAAGGTGCTCACAGTCCTAGCCAGGTCCAGGAGTATGGTCATGGCTGTCTGTCCTACCCCAGTCCCTCAGCGCACACAGCCTGCATCTCTCCCATAAAAAGTGTGGTGTTGAGCATGCTGGGAAAGCAAATTTCTTGTGCTGAAATAAATCTCAGCCCACCCCCCCAAAAAACCCCAAACCCCACTGTGAAATCTCCCCAGCCATCCTCCCTGTTCCCTACAGCCCCTTCTTTCAACATCAGTCTTTCAAGAGAGGGAACATTGAAAAGGAGGATAAAATCAAAGCTTTGAGGAGTATTGCATAGGTCCTGTCATAAATGAAACAGGGCTTCTGTTGGAAAGACAGCACAGAGCACCTGATAATTCTCAGAGAACGCAGAAGCAGACAGATTTCAAGTGTTTGAGGAATATTAAAATTTCAAAGAATTTTTGATACAAATCCAGTTAGATTACTACAAGTAATGAATGCAAAGAAATTAAAATATACATATATTCTGCAATATCTAAACACAAAATATCTGAGCAAAAGGAGCAAAAAAGTACCAGGGAAGAAGAAACAAACTAGCAAACATAAAGATCTCTACCTCATAGCAGGCTGTTCCCAACACCGTGCTCCCTAATACTTGCTTGAATTCCATGTGAAAAAAGATGCATCTCACTTGCCTTAGAAGATAGTGTGCACCCTGCCATGCTATTGACAACCTTCTAGCCCCGTCTCACTTAAATATAATTTTCCTCTTTTTTTCTCCTTTGATTTTATCTTATCACTTTTAATTATTTGTTACACCATGAAAAAGAATCTATTCTACAGCAGAGGGGTTTAAACTTACTGTTACAAGTGCTCTGCTGAATAAAAACATGTTTACATTATAAGTTAAATGATTTCTCCACATTTACAGAGTTAATATATACCTGTATTTGCAGACAAGCACAAGCTTCCCTACTTAGTCTCACTTCAGCATGGTTTGCAGGAACTGGCAAGATTTAGCATTTCCAATATATTCATTGCACTCTAAAAATATTTTGGTCAATCTTTACATCAGTTTAACACCACAACATTCTCGGTCATTCAGCTACTCACTTTTGAGTCATACTCAATTAAAATAAATCTTAGGCAACTCTCACTCTGTATAAACACATTCAGGCTATTTAGCAAAACAGATGCTGCTGTCCCTAGGTGTCATGGGGAGCAGTGGGTATTGCTCTAGGTAATGCTTCCTCGGAATTAACTGCCTCAGTTCAAGCAGGAGCAGTGACCTGGGGCAGAAGGATACACAGTGTCATAAGTGGAAGCCAGTGCCACTCCTGAAGGACTTTGGGAATGGATTTCTACCCAAACCCATATAGTTTTGAAATGTGTATGTATAAGGAGTTATTTAGGATACTTAAAAGGTGATCTGTGCAGTGCCACTACCACTCTTTTAATGGCTGTGGCCATCACTGCTTTTTTACAGAATCATAGAATGGTTTAGGTCAGAAGGGATTTTAAAACTTGTCTAGTGAGAAATTCCTTCCTAATATCCAATCTGCACCTGCCCTCTTTCAGTTTGAAACCATTTCTTCTTGCCCTATCACTACATGCCCTTGTGAAAATATCAAAGAGCCTCACCCTGCAGCATATCCTCAGTGAGCTGTGATCAGAGATGTTGGATCTGCTTTCTGGACTTGGCTTTAGGCAGCAGCAAGGCACAAGCTGCTCAGATCAGGGCAGGGCTGCACTTACACAGTTATAGCTGCAAGTAAGACGTTTCAGACACCAAGGTCCTATTTTGATCATGCAGAACATCCAAAGTAATGAAAACAAAAGTGGTAGCTTCCCTGGTACACTGGGTTCGGATATCAGTATTCAGGAATTTGATTTTACAACAAATGCACTGAGGAGAGTACTCACTGTAAGGGGCATAGGCTCATGCTTTCATGTGTAGCTAAGGCTTAATGAAAAGGATAAAAAATATTACTTCTTTTTCAATATTCAGAACACATAGGAGAAAAGATTGTACAAGCTCAGCTTTAAAGCAGTTGTTCTCATCAGAATCAGAAATCTGAACATCTCTTGATCTCGTGCAATCAGAGGGAGTAGCTATATAATTAAATCAGACCACACATTGAGCAACTATATATGGATTTCTGGAGCTAACATTAAGATCCTATTTTTAAAAGCTGTGTTTACAGATAAGCCAGACGGTTAGAAATAAAGACCTTTTAAACATAACTTCTTTTAATCCCTGCACTTACTGCACTCATTTAAACAGTATTGATGCAAATAAATTCATCAGAAAATTATACTGGCAGCTTGATATGCCATGGGTATTACAGCGCTAAACCATAAAAACCGGTGCTTCAAAAAAATTGCGCTGCAGATAGTCATGAATAAAAGAAGATTGTGATTTACAAGAAATATACAACCCCTCCTCCTGTTAATCTGTTCCATATTTGATCACTGAGCTTGCAATTGAAAAATATCCTGGGGGACTACTTAAGTGTGCTGCCTAATCCAGCCATCCACCCCCTGCAAAGCACAACCTCATGCGATTTAGTTTCATTATGAGTTTCTCTGCAGCTCCAATGACCCAGCTCAGTTTCACCTCCAGCAAACAGGTCTGAGCATGAAGAAATAGCTTCTGTGGCCAGAACTGTGCAGAAATATGTAATTCTGTACCAGCATAATTTTGCGAGCTGAGCTAATGGAAAAAACATACTTTGTCCAGTTACCTTCTAGGCATGGCTGGAGTTACTTCATCTGCAATCTGAATGGATTATGTGGTCTTGTATCTCTGACTCTGCTTTGGCATATTTTCTTGTTCTTAACCCTTCATTGGCAGTATTACACCTACGTAAAAGCTTTGTTCAAACTCCAAAGGTTTATCACTTCTGTTAAACAATGTTTTTCCATTAAATTTTTATATCCACTAGACTTTGCCCACCAGTGGGGATGTTACAGTATCCTTTATCCTCAGTTAAAACAAAAACATGTCTTCCCTCTGAAAAGTCGTCATACTCAGAGCTTCTAAAAATCATCTGACAAAATATTAATCCTCTTTTCCTGGGCTCTGTTAACCATAGTATACCAGGCTACAAGCAGTTATAAAATATCACAGCTTTACAAACGTGCACCAGCAGGATCCACCTCTGTGAGGGTGTCTGCTATGGGGAGTTTAGGATGGAAAAGAAATGGCCATAAACTGTAGCCAGGGGTAAATGTGTCTGAGGAGATGAAGTTTGGATGGGTGAAGAATCATAAAGATTGTAAACTAAGGCTTAGTTCTCCCTGAACAACATGAGAAGACTCTGCATGGGCTGCAGTTTTCCTCTGAGAGAGCGAGCTAGAATTAGCTGAGATAGCTCACAGCTTTAACACTTTGGCCATCATGCAGGGCACTCCAAGCCCTGGATAAGGCCAGCAAAGAGCCACAGGGAAGAATAGAACATTACCAGCATCAGCCAAGATCCTGTTCTGTAGCTTGAGCGCTGATACCATGGCTCCTTATCTACCTGTCTTACCACTAAGACATTGCTCTCTACACCTTCAATCCTTCTCTTCTACTGGTTTTCTTGTCCCAAAGACAATACCTTATGCCCTATCCCAAACAACATCTCTTTAATCTAACACAATTACAGCTCCACCTAATTTTGAAGTTCCTAGTCTTGCACCGTATGTA